CTCTGTGGTTCAGGGAATTTTCCCTCACAGGCTCATCAAGACCACACCCTTCCATGCGCCTGATATTTCCACGAAAGAAGGAGAAACCACGCTAAGCACAGGGTATGTGTTTTGGTGGACCTTTATAATAATACACTTGCTAAGATAATTACGGTAAACAATGCACACCAAGCCCCAAACTTTACTCACTTTAAAGGATTGAGAGAAACATTCGCCTGTGGTTGCTACCATTTTTCAAAAGAATCACAGAGGAAGACACGGCCTTAGTGAATACTCACAACTCAGGGCTTCCCAAGTGGTATTTCCAAATCCTAATTAACCTGTGATCGGAGAAATACAACAGAGACTAGCAGAATGTTGCACGGGAAGAGACTTTTTAGCAATCACCTGGATCTGGGCCCTAGTCAATATTTCTCAGAACACCAGGCAATAAAATATGTGCGCTATGGAAAAACTCTTCTGTGGATCACATTGTTTAAGGAGAGATTCCAAGTTAAAGATAGATAGGTTTCCTTTTACCCAAGGGCGTGGCAGATTAGAGACAGCCACAGGTTCTTGGACACTGCTAGGCTCTGTGTCCTCGACTCTGGGTGGGCTCTGTCTTTGACAAAGTTCAGTAGAAGTGATGCTGTGCCCTCCTGTGTGATGTTTCTGGTGACTTCCACATCTGGTCTCTCGTTGGGCTTGCTCTTAAGGGCTCCTGACAGCCGCCCTGGGAGTGAGTCATCATGGTCATTTGACTTGAAACCCAAGCGAGAACAGCCTAGCTGAGCCTGGTCAACCCTCCGCACCAAGAGAGATGATAAATTATGGTGAAGCCACTAACTTTGGAGAGGGTTCCTGTGCCGCCCAGCACACGGTAGGCAATCAGCGTTTGTTACATGGATGACTGGGTGAGTGAGTGAGCGACGCAAAGGGGAGCCTTCAAGAGGGGGATCATCTAGTTTGCCACATTTCCTAAATGTGCCATCTGAGATGTCAAGACAAGTCATACAAAACAGGGCTTGATAGAACACTAGCAGGAGAAAGGCTGAATTAGAGCTTGAAATGGTAGAGTTTGGGAATTATTGATCATGTTACAGATGACCAAAGTGAGGCCCAGAGAGGTAATAGAGAGGTAAAGGGAATTACCTAGGGAAACGAAGCTAATTGGTAGACTCCACCTATGAACTAAGTTTCTTTTCTAGCAGAAGTAAAGGGGTGTGGACGACATGGTTTCACTTACACAAGCATGTTTCAGCTAATTAAATATAACAGGCTTCTTATTAGGTAGCCCTGTCTTTCTGCTTGCTGATCAAGTCTTTGTGTCCAGCTAGCTGTTTTCCAGGAGACCTCTCTTAAATGGTAGACTCCCAAAGAGGATATAAGGGTATTTATTAGCTTGACGTCTAGACTAAGCTCACTTCTAAGAACACCAGGATCTATAGCAACATACTTGGGCCTTTGGTCTTAAAACATTTGCCTGATGGAAATCCTTGCTTAAAACCAAAATCTCTGGAAGAATGAATTTTCAACTGACCTAGATGTTGGTGAAGGATCCAGATTTTAAAAATTCCTTTAGTCTTATGTTACAAATTCCATCGCTCTTCCTCCATGTGAGGTAAATAATAGGATCTGAAGTCTGAGTCAGTTCTTAAAACAATACAGGGAAGAATGTTAATACAGGTCAAAATCTGGGATATTTGATTTTTACCATTCCAGCCTATAACACAGCTTCCCAATCAAGTCTCCAAATCCGAGAACCACTTCAACGGGTGAAAAAAGGTTTTATCTAATTATCTTCTTCTCCTACTTTGAGTTGACCAACCATGTATCTTTTTTTGGTCTTATCAAAGGGGCCGCTAGGACGAAAGCACATCCAATTTTAAGTAAGCTTTAGTTAGCAGACTTAAAATTGATCATGCATTTTAGTTTCAGTAACTTGCAATTTCTACACACTTTGATAATTCACTTTAAAGAGCAAACTGTCTTTAATGACAAGGCTTAAAAGAGACGACCTTTCTGAACAAAATATGAAAGCTCCGAAGAGACTGCTCTTTTAAGGAAACTATGAATTAAAATGACCTTGTGTTCTGAAACTTTTCTCTGACCATTTTTGATGTTTTACCTTTCCTTTTTACTCTCAGAACGAAAGCTAAAACACCACTGCCTTCTGTGGATGCTGATGCACTTCAATAACAGGGCTGTTAATTGTTAATTCAAACTCATATAGTTTCTCCTGTCTGCACTCTCTCGGCAGACACCTTTAATGAGGTTGCTCACAACGACAGGCATATGCCTGCTTCTGAGGAATCCACTGTTACTAGGTGACATTACAGGATAACGTCTGAATCCGGCAATTTCCCTTGAGTCACAGCCGATTCTTTTGTACAAACTCTGAAGCAAGTAGACCCATTCTCTGTTGCCCCCCTCTCAGGCCATTTTTCTCCTCGGTGCCCCTGGATGGCTGCCCTCTGAGGAGCTGATTGTTGACTGGGGAGGTTGCAAAATCAGGGGTCAGACCCCTGAAAGGGCTTGCGGCTCGGTGACACAGAAGTGGTAGGACTCAAACAAGACCATGACATGGGCAGATGATGGACAGCTGGCCCTTGCCTTAACCCTTCTCCTGCGCTCGACCCCATGGCTGGGTAAACACGCGTACCCAAGACACTGCGCGCCCACGGCTTTCCTTCTGCTGGGTCGTTCCCCACGCCTTATCACCCACTACCCGAGGACGGTCGCACGCACAGGTGGATGACACAGCCGCCGGAGCCAAGAATGACAACTTGAAATGGAACTGAATGAGGTACTTGGGGTGAACAATCGATCTTCCAACAGATAAAAGAAAAGATGAAACCTCAGATGATTTTATAATAAGGCACAATGTTTATAATTCACTTACTGAGCACTTGCTTGATCTCCCAGTAGCCATTTATATACCCAGGGCTCAATTCAGGAAGGGATTTTAAACGTGCCAAAGGCAATTTTTCTTTCTCTTCCTTTATCAGAGGACATTCACAAAAACATTAGTGTCGGCCATCCAGTCCCATCACACACAATCAAACTGACCTAAAGTTTCAGCACGCTTACTCCCAGATGTATGTGACACCCATCAGAAGGGAAACAGGATCTGGGTAATGTCAAAGGTTCACCAGTGTTTGTGATTTCATAACCCTTGAAATAAGGAAAAGAAAGAATAGCAGGCAACTTTCCAAAACACCTACTGATATTTACTCATGGAAAATAAATATTCTTGAGTGGGAGTTCCAATTCCAGCAGACAATACAATTCACCAAGTATTTTCACTTCAGGCAGCTAATAACCTTACTAACGAAATCTGTTGAGCTTCAACCTGTTTTTCACGGTCTGTAGAGAAGCACTTAAAAATTAATCATGTAGCCTTAATCTTTCCCTTTTGAGCACTAAATCATAGTCTGAGTACCAACTGTCCTCATTTGGTAGGTGGTTTTAATAGCATCTGCTTCGATTTTGCTTTTTCCTGAATACTCTTCAAGCCAGTGCTATAATTTATTGAAAATGCAAGAAAGACCTGAGCTTTCAAAGGACAGGGATCTTTCTTCCTGCAGGTGTCGGGGCAAACGTCACCAGGCAGAGGTGATCTAGAGTAGGAAGGCAAGGTTTTTTGTTGATGGCAGCCGCCAAGGCAGCGTCTATGCGGTTCCTGGCCCTGGCTTTGGAAGTGGCTGTAAAACCTGTTACTTCCTTATCATCTCTGGGTCTCGGTTACGGTACAAGAAAGGGTAATTAATCCTTGGGCAGCAAACAACGGAGATGGGCGTGGGAAAGAGACAAGAATTTCGAAAAGGCCTAAAGTAACGTTCTGCCCTGTCCTGTTACAGTAAACGGGATGATCATGGCCCTGCCCGCAGTCCAGATTTTTAGAGCGTCTCAAAGGGTCCATGGCATACACCACAATGAAGTCAAAAGAATACAGAGCATCCATCCACTGCAATTCAGAATTTCCTCAGCAAATGGGGCTGACCAATCAGCATAGAACACAGACCAATCAGCAACGACCAATCAGAAGCAATGTGCTGATTGGTCAGTTGGGTGGAGACAAACACCCAATCAGGAGAACACCACCATATTCGCAGAGAGGAAAATGGGACCAATCACAGCTCATCTGCCACCACTTGCCACTGGGTTGCGTGGCCTTGGAACACACCCTTCTGTTTTTAGGCTTTCTTAAAGAGCATCAATTGATACGATAATGAAACAATCACCATAAAAAGAGAAAGCAACAATAAAACCATAGCTGCTACATAAAATTCTTACACCATTCTGCCTCTGGAGTCCCAGGGTCAGACGAGACCAACGCGACAACTCCTTAAACTGGTATCAGATGACCCAGTGATTTTTATTCTAAATAAACGAACTGCTTATGGATGTGATCTCTGACACGACATAAGGTATTTTTCCCCATAGTACAATTTGAGATTGTCAGGATTTTCGAGGGAAAAATACCGTGGATACGCCATACTTATTTTGGCAAACGAGGTGCAATAAAAAGTAGAAATAAAATTGGTAAGTACAAAATATAATGTTTTAATAATATGTGAACACAAACATGAAAACAATGTAAGCATGCTAAAAATTGTGATGCGATACTACAAACGTGATTTTGATCCTACGCAACTGGTAAAATTCTATACAAAAGCGTCAACAAGGCATATTATGAGAAATCACTTCTTTCCCCAATATAAGCAATTCTCAGCACATGCTCAAATGCACGCGAATATGGAAATCCGAAATAAAGGAATGTTAAAAAAAAAAATAACTTAGGCAGACACAAATAAAACCACCCCATAGCGTATGAGTGATGCACGTGTTTATGATCTTAATTACATTTAAGTATTAAAAAATGCCATTGATCTCACAGTTTACAATACCCAAATCTTCAAACCTGCTGGAAGAAATCCACAGTGCAGCCCAGACAGTGACATCCACTGCCCTCGCCCTGTGCTACTCAGGTAAGCCTTCGCGCAGTTACCTGAAAATCAAAAATCTCAGTTAATGATTTTCTCCAGGTCTGATGGGCATGTCAACGATAAAATATGTCCTAACTCGGGAGGAGTTGGATAGAGGTTAAAAAGGATATTCGGTATCAAAATTTCATCATTTATGCCCGGAAAGGATCCAATCCCATCTGCACCAGGCAATAGACTCTTTCGAAAAGTGAATGATTCACAAGGTCTTAACTTCTAAACCGATGCCAAGTAAGTGCTTTGGCCTTTCACTGCGTGAAAAGGGAGGCTGTTTGACTGACTTAGAGCAGGGAAACATAATCTATGTCTGTGATGTCTCTGGGGACCCTGGACTAAGAAGGCATCCTTGAGAAGCGCATGCTGAGGGCACTAAAGTCACCGTGTTGCCACGCCACCGAGCCATTTATCTCTTTTGGTCTGGAGAACATCTGCAGCAGCAGCAGCGCCAAACCTCCAGGGGATACGGGGCTTTGAAGATGTGGGCCACCACGCTAAGGACTGCATCAGCTCGCTATCTTCAAAGAAAGACGGTCTCCTTAACCCTGCAACTGGGCTTTAAGACAATGTCTTGTCAGGGCGATGCAGGTGAGGCCCAGACTTGTCAGGCATCTGCAGATTCTCTCATTCTGTTCTGATCGTACTAAGCACTGCGATTACAAGGGGTGGGTGGCTTCTCAAAGACAGGCTATTTAGTAAAAAAAAAAAAAAAAAAAAAATCGGTATTTTTTTTTTTCAAAATTGATACTATGTGTAAGCATTTTAATAAAGACCCTACGGTCAACCCGGGAGACTCACAGGTGCCAACAATACTAACTAATCAGAAGGCCTTAGGAGCGTGGGCTGTACCTTCTGCCTTGGTATGTAGTCAGTTCTTCTTGAAGGATGGATGCTCTCTTCTGCAGAAAGTTAACCTAGAAAAAGACACCACGTATGAGCAGAGGCGAATGTGGCTGAAATGGCAAAATATGGTGCAAATAACGTGGCTCCCTAGATAAAAGGGAGAGGGTTTGTTGAATGTCAGTGTTGTGCTTTTCACCTTTGATCACATTGCATCCCTCCTGAAAAGCAATCCGAGACAAGAGTCCATCCAAATTCATTATTGCAGAGCCATTTTGGTTTGGCCCCAGCCCGTCCTTGAGGCTCCATTTCTCCTCCCGTTCTCCCCACCATCACCACCTTGTACACCATGTCTTCCTGACTCCTTTGCCCTTTGGCACGGGGCATTTTCTCTCTTTGGAATGCTCGGCTAACTATCTCCCATTTATCCTCCACCGTTTAGTTCAAATGTCACCTCTCCTACTGACTTCCTCGATTCCTCCCCAACAGCTCATCACATCCTAGGCAAAGTCAGGGCCCCTCCTCTTTACTCCTACTCCTGTGCTCCATTATTAGCACTTCTCAAGCTGCATTGGGGTTATGTGTTTTCATATCTCTCCCCCAAACCTGAGAGCTCGTCTGGGACAGGGAGGATGTTTCTTCGTCCCTGTGTCCCCAGCTTCTTTCACTGGGCTGGGTGGGACCCTGGTGTTCACTAGTGTTTAATGAGTGAATGAGTGAGGAGAAAGAAAATTACTGTCTTCTGGAAACCTCAGTCTGTCCTGGGGATTCCCTGAGGTTGGAGAGACAATATTGGTAGTGGAAAGAGCCTAGGCCAGAGTTAGGCCAGCTTGGGTTCCACTCCTGGCTTGGCCTCGATGGCTCTAGGAAAGTTACATGAGCTCTTGATGCCTCATCTGTGAAATGGGATCGATGAGAGCTGCTTCCCAAGGTTAGGAGGAGGACATGAAAAGACTAATAGAAGCCGCCTAGTGGCTTAGCATGTTCTCTTAAATCAGATCTTTACAGTGTGGTTTGATTTTTTTGGAAGCATAAATTTCTATATAGTATTAAAGATACCTCTATCAGGTATGAATTCAAAAGCACCTTACACGAACAAATAGAAACAGTTTGGGGGTAACTCCTACTATGGCTCGATGTAATCAAGAGTCAGCGGTATTTGATCATTTCAGAATTGTTTACTCTTGCTGCTTTGGTCTGAACTGAAACCATGGCAACGGCTGATTCTGAAGCCTAGTTGGCCAGAGAACACTGCCGGCGAACAGCAAATGTGCTTGCAAGAGAGGAAAGCACACTTTCTCTAGACGGGTACATATCCAGGTGGTCCCCCTCGGTTTTGCTTACTTGTAATATCACCCTGGTCTTAATTCTAGCCAATTGCTCAAATGACCCATAGGACAATTGATAATGTTGACAGATGCAAGCATTACACCGATTCGGCCTCCCCTCCGCACCCCTGCTTTGCGATTGGAATCCCAACAATTTTCAGAAAATACAGACACCTGGGCTTTCAAACTAAATTTGCACCCTCTGTGGCCTGCGACTCCTCCACGCAGCTGCCAGCTAGCAGGACTCTCTTTCTGGGTCAACTTCCAGTTTTAGGAGGCTGAAGTGGCTTTTATTACAGGGAAATGAGGTGAATGATAACAGAAGCCCTGCAGGTGGCTATCAGATTTCTTTCTTTCGGTCTTTTTTCCTTAAAAAAACCCTCCTCTGAAGGTGCCAGGTCCTCCATAGCCAACCCTATGGAAGCTCTCCTACAGAGTTAATGGGTAAACCACACTGCAAGGGAGCTTTCCATGTAAATAAAAATGACTTAACCCTTTCTACCTTAACACTTTCCTGCAGTCCTTATGTTTATTTTTTTAAAGATTTTATTTATTTATTTGAGAGAGAGAATGAGATAGAGAGAGCATGAGAGGGGGGAGGGTCAGAGGAAGAAGCAGACTCCCTGCTGAGCAGAGAGCCCGATGTGGGACTCGATCCTGGGACTCCAGGATCGTGACCTGAGCCGAAGGCAGTCGCCTAACCAACTGAGCCACCCAGGTGTCCCTGCAGTCCTTATGTTTATAGGCAGGAGCGAACGAGGGAAAATGTGGCTGGCAGGAGCAAAGCCAACAGTAGCCCACAGAATGCTAGAATGGACATTTCATCTTCAGGTGAGAGGCTTTTGACGGGGGGGAATACATACGGGGTGGCCGAAGTTTGCTGCGCGCGCTTTGCCCTACACATTACAAAGAGCACATGTGGGTATCATCCAATCGTATCGGTTCGTAAATCAATTTATTGAGCACCTACTATGTGGCAGGCACTGTTCTTGGCACAGAGAGCAAAGACCTCTTTCTCTCAAGGAGCTTTCCCAGAAAAAAGTATGATTTCCTTTTTTTTTTTTGAAGTTTCTTACCAGAGACATGATTTGCAAATATTTTCTCCTATACCATGGTTTGTCTCTTCAATTTCTGAATGTTGTCTTTTGAAGTATAAAGTTTTAACTTTTAGTAAAGTCCAATTCATCTGGTTTTTTCTTCTGCTGCTTGGGCTCTTGGTGTCACAGCGAAAAAAAAAACTCTCACCTAACCCAAGGCACAAAGATGCACTCCTTAATCTAAGAAGATTTCTTCTTAGAGTTTTTTTTTAGCTCTTACATTTAGGTCTATGATCCGTTTTGAGTTAACTTGTTGAATAATCTGATTGTCCCAGCACCTTTCTTTCCATTTTTCCCTCAGTCTTGGGACATTTGGAAACCAACTGATCAAAAAAATATATAATAGGGTGGCTCAGTTGGTTAAGCATCTGCCTTCAGCTCAGGCCATGATCCCAGGGTCCTGGGATTGAGTCCTGCATCTGAGCAAGGAGCCTGCTTCTCCCTCTGTCTGCCGTGCTCCCTGCTTGTGTGCACTCCCTCTCTCTGTCTCTGACAAATAAACAAAATCTTATATATATATATAATATATATGTTCTTTTTTCCCCTGGACTCTCAATTCTATTTCACTGATCTCTGTGTCTATCCTTTTGCCAATATCATACTGTCTTGATTATGACAGCCTTGTAGTGAGTTTTGAAATTGGGAAGCATGAGCCCTCCCAAATTCATTCTTATTTTTTCAAGATGGTTTTGGCTACTCTGGGTCCTAGCTATTGCTTTTCATCAATCTCAGTCATACAAGGATTCTTAGACATAGACAGGGGAAAGTACATTTTAGGTTCCTAAGTGTATTAGAAGTGGGAACGTGTAGATTCGTTCCCATGTTAGAGTCATTAGACTGGCAATATATAAAATGTGTTTCTAGAAGTACATGGAGAAAACTGACGTTGGGAGCTGTGAAATAATCTTAAGCATCTAAATTTACATCCAGTCTATGATCCGTTTTGAGTTAACTTGTTGAATAATCTGATTGTCCCAGCACCTTTCTTTCCATTTCCAAATCCAGTGCATCTCTCACACTGTATTTCATAAGCTATTCCAAGAACTACACATTTCAGCAAGAAATATTTAACTGAATTATTTGAATACCTTGTCATTATTCTGCTTGGAATTTAAAATGCATCTTGTTATGTCTAACAAGCATACAAAACACACCAGAATAGAAATGCTTCTAATTTAGCCATCGTTTCTGTTCCTCTGCCCTTTCACAGAGTCAGGAAATCTCCGATGTGTCAAGCGATGGCATTTGGGGCCTGGTACCAAGAGGAGAAACGGGGAGGCTGTACTGGAATGTACACTGTAAGTGAGGGAAAGTAACCATAACTGAACTTTTCAATTTCACGGGTGCTTGTAAGGAAATCTTATTGAGACAATGAGTTGCAAAACTAGTAAGAAAAACTTAAAAAAAAAAAAATCCAAACAAAAAACAATTCATCCTGGTTGTATGTTATGTTATTACATTAATTTCTGGCATCAGTTCAGAATTAAACTTATTTGTGAGTCTGTTTTCAAGATATACACACCACCTGAACCCCGAGGGAATGCCTTGATTCTGGTAATTACCTGTGACTTTAGGGAGGAAATGGTGTCTTCCAGCTCTTGTCTTAGAGATGCTGGCATCAATCCTTTGAATTTGGTCTCGTATTCTTGTCGTATATAAGTTATCTAAAGTGAAAAAAAAAAGACAGCTTATCAGTTTTTTTTCCCACGGAAATGATTGTTTTCAATTTTTAAAATAATAAATAATAATATTTATTTATCACAAAGGTAAGCTTGCTACATGTGGTCAATAAAGATGAAACGACACGAAACAGAGTTACAAACAAAAAGGCACTCGGTCTGCCCTTATGAGTCTGGGAGAGACAGTTCCTAAAACACTTTTATTTCTTTAAAATCCCCATTAACGCAATTTTCAGCCCTTGATAAGTAAAATGCCTGTTCTCTCCTCACCGCTCGTGATATATGCACTATGCTAACCTTTTCTTGATCAGGATGTGGATTATGATCATTGATACACTGTGATTTGAGGACAACTCAGGCTATGTTGTTGCTCTGATTAAGACACTCCCTCCAACTGGCTAGGCAGCTGGGTGCTCGATATAATCCATAGGACAATGAAGATAGGAATGAAGAAGAATCCCTGCTGCTGTGCCTCCAAGACTCCTCAACACAGGGAGACCAGAGTGTCTTGCCATTGTGAACTTCTCTGGCTCATGGGCTTCCCTCTTCCTCCAGAACACAATCAAGCCTGGGCTCAGCTAACTGATGGATCCCTGGGCTGGTTTGGTGGCTCATCTCTCTAAAAGCTACAGACAGAAGCAAAGGAGGGAGGCAGAAGAAGAGTCTTTGGAGGGATATGCCTGAGCAGAATGAAGAGGTTCATGAGTATGTGTGTCTTGGTGTCTTTCTCCAGTTATTTGATTTCTCTTCCTCTTAATCTGAGATGTGACAGAATTCAAAAACCTATTGCATGTGCTGTGTGTGACTTAACTGAGTATTAAAGCAGAATTGCATAGTATCCCATAAATGATTCATTGGATGCACCTGGAAATAAGGTAACATACTATGAAAATATGTGCAACTGAGCTCAGTTAAGACAAGTCTATGCATTGATCTACTGAAGATAATTTAAAATTACCAGCCTTAATTCCCAACTTTTCTTAGACTAAACCGAATTAAGAAATGTGTTCTAATAGTTCATTTCATTATCCATTAAAATCCCATGGCAAATGTTCTAGAATATGATTTTTCAATTTTTGGCAAAGTGTTTTTTGACCTATGTTATAATCTTGTGATTTACACCTAAAGGAAAAACAGAAATAATGAAACATGATCTCTCCCAGTGATGTAATAATTTTTCCCACCTTCTCCTCTTGGACTTAAGTTCAATAGTTAGATCAAAATGAAATGCACATGCAAAGCGAAACACATGCTTTATAAAACAGATCTTAAGGGCAACATTTATCGAGGGTCCACAAGCTGGTATATTGACTATATTTTTCTATTGTTCAACACTGGCTCTGAAATTTTGAGCTACTACTCTTTCAAAAGGGACTCCTGTGTGCTATCTCTCTTGTATCCTTGTTTGGTTGGAATGTCTGCCCACTGTCTGTACATTTGCAAGACCACTGAGCTGGCTATAATAATGCCCAACCCCCATTTCCTCTCCCCTAGGACTTTGGCAACTTTTTTTTTCAATGTCCTCTGGCATCACATCCACCTACGGTGAAGTCTGAAGCCAGGCTGGGTTGTTTTCTGTGTTGAAGGGGACTTTCTCTGCTTGAATGCCCATGTGATTTTTCTTTTTCCTCGATTCAGGAACTCCACTGGGATACGTTTTGGTATTAACCATGACCATTTTTCCTGAGACATTGTGTATGCCCTTTCTGTCTTTTCTTGGGGCTATCTTCCCTCAGTTTTAAGTACTTTGGAGGTGAAGGCCAAGCACTTAAGTTCTTCGGTTAATTCTCATAGTTTCTCTTGACTCCTTTGTCTTGTCCCCACTTCACCTTTCATATCTGATGGCCTCCTTCTACTGGAGGCTAGGCCACAGACAGCAGAGAATGGTGTGTGAACAAGACTGCCCTTTGATCACCCTATCACATCACTTTTAAATTCAGTTGGCTATATTTTCCAACTTTTTTTGAGGATCCGGGCATTTCCACTTTCTGTCTACTACTCCTTTGTTTTTATGATTTCAATGAATCTGAGTGAACTTAAAATGAGCTCTTGGAAAATCTGAAATTACCTCACTTATGAATGAGACTATCGACCAGGAAAATATTACTACCCTGAGTCCTTAAACCCAAATCCTGAATTTAAAAATCATTATACCACACAGAATCCTGTTACCTTAATAAAGTCATGGAAAACTTTAATTTGTTTTGCTCTATTTATAAGGTTAAAAATGTTACGACCAGCAAACATTTATTGAGTACTTCCGATGTGCCTGATACAATTCTAAATGCTTTATTAAGTGGTGAATCCTTCTGACAACTCAGTGAGGTAAGCACAGAGAGGCGAGCAAGCCAGGACTGGAACTCAAGGAGTCTGACTGTCAAGCACACATTCTTAGCCACTATGCTCTGCTGTTTCTCACATAACCTTTCCAAATGCTGAGATGTTTCTTCTACCCCCAAAGGAGAAGGACATCACAGACACAACCAGTTAGAGAAGTTTCATCCACTGCACACTGGTGCTCCCCACAATATAACAGGGGCTGAGGAAAGGGGCAGACATACGACCATCCTTCCAGACATCCATCTGTTCTTTGCTTTATTTCTTTTTAATGGCTATAATAACAACAACAATAATTTCTTCCTCACACTTTCCCACTGGTTTAAAATTTCAATTGAAGATTTATAGATAAGACTAATTTAAAAAATCTCTACAAGTGCAATGCACATATTGACCTAAACTAGAGGTTCCATAAATCCCCCACAGAAGCACACATTTTACGGTCCAACCAGTGAAAGCTGTATCTAAGTTTGTCACATGGCAAAATGAGAAAGAGGAAGGAAAGAATTAGCTTATATTCTTTCATATCACTTTCAATTCCTGCTACTATTTTTCTATCCCCACCTCTGACCCAGGATGTGTTTGAGGGGGAATAATGAGGGGGTGATAACACTTATCTATAGACTAATCACAAACTATGAACTGCCAAATACACCAATCTCCTTTCGTCTTCCTGCCTTCCCACATTTCCCTTGTGGTCTGAATCTGACCTTACAACAGATCAAGAAGCTAGAGGAAGTTGAACTGATCTAAGCAAAGGGTTTGATGGACATACAATTCCTTTTACTAAGGCAAATGAAAGTTTTTATATATAAGTTTATATTATTAGGTTTGAATATTAATTTTCATTAGCATATACTGTCCAATTATACTCGTGAAGGCTATATTAGTTTATTAAATGCAGAAGCATTCAAAGACTGTTCTCACTTGAATAATTCTGGAAAGGCATTTCCAGGACTGTTTTGGCTCATTTCTACCCTACCTCAGCAATCCCACTGCCCTCTAAAAGCACTGTGCATAATTATCTGCTCTTCCACATTCCTCAACCACCTCACGCCAAATAGATTATCAGCCTCCCCCCTCCCGCTTTCCTTCATCTTCTTCCCTTTAGCAAAGGAAAATTAGGAAACATAGGACCTTGTGACAAACAACGACATTCCTGTGATGTAATAAGACCCCTGGACGCTGAGTGGAAATGGTGTATGTATAACATGGTGCCCGCGTGACCAAAGACAGCTGTGCTCCGCACCATGGCAACAGACTGCCCACCTTTCCCTTGAAGGCAGAGCACTGACAATATTTCCTTTAATTTTAAAAAAGGACCACGAAGACTGAGAACAACCATAACTAGATTTTAGTGTTACACTCAAGTAAAACTTACATCCCGGGTTATCGGCCAAATACTCATTCGCATAAACAAGAGTCTACAGAATCTGTAGTTGACTTGAGCCAATGGGATCTCTGGAGATAAAAATTCAAAGTGATGTTGAAAAAAGTGAACCTTGGAAACCTTACAATTTCACTGAAAACATGGAAGGAGAACGAAAGCACATTTTGTGGTGTTTTTATTGAAAAATGCTATCAACTAGTGATGTTAACATGTCATAACCATGTCAAATATGTCACCCTCCTGTGGTATAACAAACAACAAGATGGAAGCCTGCAGCTTTATACACACAACTTAGGGATGGTGCCTCAGCCACAGGTTATTTTATCGTAAGCTTCCATGCACCCAAGACGGCATTCACTTCTGAAGAGGTGAGGAAAGGGGAGGCCACTGGGGTTCCTGTGTCACACGTTCCTGCATAGTCATTTGTGATTGTTTTCTGAGGTAAGAGGGAAGCACTTTTGGAAAATGACTGTGCCTGGTATTACTTTACAAAATCCAACCGAGCATTTTGGGGGTTAGCTCAGCAGATGAAAAAGGGAACTAAGTCAGACTTCTACTGATGGCATCTCTGAACTATCTCCCCACTTTGCTGTCGCCCTGGGACCGTCCCAATCCGGGATGCCTTTGTCTTGCACCTGACCCACAGATGTACTAGTAATGTTGGTTTTGGTTTTTGATTCAAATTTTCTTAACATTTAAAATCACAATCAAATCCTTTAGTGAGACCAACAAGGTCCTGCACCGTCTGGTCTCTATTCACCTCTCATTGCCGTCACTCGACGGTCCTCTCACTTCCAGACACCAGACTCGTTGGCTTCTTTCTGTCCGTTCACCAGGTGCCTGGATACTTTCCCTCACAACAGGCCCTTTCTCCTTTTCCTCTGCCCACTTTCCTGCCCCGTGGGGTTTTGCCACTCCTCCATCTAGATCTCTGGGTGTAGAGGGTCCCGCAGCATGGTGGTCTCAGGGGGCAGGCCCTGGTGAGGAGGCTGCATCTGGGGCAACTGCCTCCCAACTTCAGATGAGCTAGAGCCCCTCACTGTGGCAGGCAATAGCCTTCCTCAGTTTCCACAACAGCCCTCGCTCTCACGCTGTGACCCAGTCTCTTGTCATTTCACTGTCAAGGAGCCCCCTCAGCATTTTTGTCCCCTGTTACTCCTGGGACTTCTCTTCCAGCTGCCTCTGCCTGCTGATGGGCTCGGGACCCTGTACTCGCGGCTTTGGCTTCACTCATCACTCTGGGGTTCTGTTCTGTTTC